TACCTTAACAGGGTGTACATTTTAAAGGACTAGAACAGGGGCCATGTTATAAAATTAAAATTTCGACGTAACTTATCAACATTTTGCTTTCAAAAAGTATATGTTGTGCGTTTCTACTACACGAACTAGATTTGGAAAGCTTTGCTCATCAAAATTCGTACTTGACAATTTCGCGCTAAAGCTTAGACGTAATAAATTCGATAGACATAAAAACATGAAAACTTTGACCAGGTGATTTTTGAAATTCTTGGTTGAATGACATTTTTTGAAGTTAGTATATCAATACACTTTCAACCCCGGCATCTCCAACACCATATTTCACACATCATTTATTTCCCAGTACATTTGCCTTTAAACATATTTTCAGCAGACGGATAGCCTATCGGTCGCATATGCCGTGCGCCACGGAATTATTCATAAATATTGCATCTTTTCATACGAGGTGGGCACGATATTTATATACACGAGTGTTATGCTTGGAGTGTAAATCAATGATGCTATTTGACGTAATATTATATACATGTACGAGTACGAATACCTTATTTTTAACCACCCTATGCACTAGTGAGATAAAACTGAATCTAGCCTGTGAAATGAATACAAGAACTTACTTTAGGTATAGTACTTTATAAATAACCGCATAATCGCTTACCATTGACAATCACATATCAACCGTCTATATCTTTGTTGATTTGTGACAGATCCACTCTATATAGAAATCAGAGACCTGAACATTCGCATAATACAAACGCAAGAACCTAAAATATTGTCACGTTCGCCATAATTTATTATTATTATTATTTACAATTGAAATCAATTTGTTGAAAAAGTTAATGTGCTGCATGTAATGGGCAATAACCAATCTTTAATTGTATTTCATTAATACCACGTGATGCGAGAATTACAAATTGATGAACGATCATTAATCATTTGTCTGGATTTTTAAACAAGATCGAAACTGCATTCTTAAACAGGATGTCGTTATGAAATTGCATTGTATATTATCACTTTTGATATCCTTTTACGTATGCCATGCTGTATTTTTCTTGCTACCTTTTTTGAGCTCTATTAGGACCTTAATGACTTAATACTGAATAATGTGAAAAATACGCCCTCGTATTTGGGACCTTGAGTAACGATGAAACGCCTCCGCAATATCGACGTTTATGCAACCAGAATTACGCGAATGTGTATGAAGCGTGGTCGCGTTCTGGAAAAAGATTGGAACTGCTTTCTTAAATAGGATGTTGTTATGAACTTGCGTTGCAAAGTGTCGCGTTTGACATATTTTTTAGGTATGCCGTATTTTTCTTGCTAGCTTTTATTTACAGTCCATTTCAAGATTTATTAGGAGCTTAATGACCGAATAATGTAAGAAACTTCTTTAACGTCCTCGTAACTGGGACCTTCGCAATATCGACGTTTATGCAACCAGAATCACGCGAACGCCATTGCGAACAATATATACAGGTATGGAGATGAATCTACTGCCATCTAGTTGAAGAAGTGTTCTGGAAGGCCTCTGGAATCATCGATTGAAGTTAAATACCCGACCAGATGGCGGAAGCAGTCAGTCACAGTCGAGACAGTCAACGATGCGTAAGCTATAGTCCAGTCGACGTGGTGATAAATTTGTAATAAATCAGTTGTAATCGTGGTTATGAACTAGTGAAATAAATAAGACTTTGAACAGTAAGAGCGATTTTCATTGCATGTATAAAATATTCGTCTTTGATGTACTGTGACAAAGATTATTACACATATAACTAAGGAAATTCCTTCGAGTAACTTTGAAAACAATGTTACCGTTGAATGTGCAGTGAATATACGGGGTGTTTCAGCAAGGCGTGCCAATATTTTTAAGGTAAAAGGACAATTAAAAAATAACAAAATAAGTTCCAACAAATATGGATCCAAAGATGCTCTCCTACTGAGATACAAGGTGATCAAGTTTTATTTATGAAATTGAATGAAAATATATCTGCAGAGAGGGTAACGATGCTGAGTTTATGCAACCAGAATTACGCGACTATGTATGAAGCGTGGTCGCGTTCTGGAAAAAGATTGGAACTGCTTTCTTAAATAGGATGTTGTTATGAACTTGCATTGCAAAGTGTCGCGTTTGACGTCTTTTTTAGGTATGCCGTATTTTTCTTGCTAGCTTTTATTTACAGTCCATTTCGAGATTTATTAGGAGCTTAATGACTGAATAATGTAAGAAACTTCTTTAACGTCCTCGTAACTGGGACCTTCGCAATATCGACGTTTATGCAACCAGAATCACGCGAACGCCATTGCGAACAATATATACAGGTCTGGAGATGTATCTACTGCCATCTAGTTGAAGAAGTGTTCTGGAAGGCCTCTGGAATTATCGATTGAAGTTAAATACCGGACCAGATGGCGGAAGCAGTCAGTCACAGTCGAGACAGTCAACGATGCGTAAGATATAGTCCAGTCGACATGGTGATACATTTGTAATAAATCAGTTGTAATCGTGGTTATGAACTAGTGAAGTAAATAAGACTTTGAACAGTAAGAGCGATTTTCATTGCATGTATAAAATATTCGTCTTTGATGTACTGTGACAAAGATTATTACACATATAGCTAAGGAAATTCCTTCGAGTAACTTTGAAAACAATGTTACCGTTGAATGTGCAGTGAATATAGGCGTGCCAATATTTTTAAGGTAAAAGGTACAATTAAAAATAACAAATAAAGTTCCAATCAATGTGGATCCCTACTGAGATAGAAGCTGATGAAGTTTTATTTACGAAATCAAATAAAAATATATCTGCAGAGAAGGTAAAGATACTGAGATAATTCCGGGCCGAAACTAATTCAGGAACGTAAAAATTGGGGTACCTGGAACCTGATGGGAAATATTTTCTATTCCACTGGCCTCCTCGAAGAAAAAAGTGAATTTTATAAAATACGATTCAATTTTCTATAAATTTTATCTCTGAAGGAATTTTTGTCATCATTCGTTTTGGAGATATTTAGGATCGGACATTTGAGGTAAAATTGTAAAATATTCTTATACCTGTATTTGTAGTGTTTACAATATATCAAGTGTCACGGTGTTTTCAGAATAAAATACCTCAAATGTTCAAATGCTCAAACCTGATTATGCCTAAACGACTGATCTGCAAAAAATTCCTTAAGAGACAAAATTTAGGGAAAATGGTGCTTTATTTTCTTTTGTGGCGTATAAAATATTCGATAACGATTTTATTTCATTTGGCTTATTATATTGTTTTCACTACATTCAATTATTTACACTCAAAGGATTTTAAAGACTATACCGATTACGCTTTGATTATAGATAAAGACGAAAATCAGCACGTTCGCATTATATAAACCATAAAATTTCACAAGAACCGATCACCCATTATGCATAAATTATTTTTAATAACTTAAAACGCAACAATGTTGATACAAGTGGCGTGAAAATGTAAACTAAGAGCATTACTTTATTTTATGTAACATAAAGTTCGTACATAACAAGCTACTTACATATGCATCCAAGCTATGTGAGGAATGCCTCATAAGAAATTGCTTTACAGCGATAGCGATCTTTATAAGTCTAGTTATGCTAGCTACCTCTCGATAAGGAAACTCTGATATTATTACCAACAAATAGGTACATACTTTATATCCTATTGAGTCGATGGAGATATTTCCACTGATATGGCGAAAAGTATTTCTTAGCTAGAGTTTTTAAGCTTACTGCAACACGGAAGGTGTTCGAGAACATTGTGCAAAGACAGGGGCGGCTGGCCCTTAAGTTCTGCAGAGCTGCAGAACTGCCAAAATTTTTGTCTTAACAGAAAAAAACAGTAGTAATGTGATCATTATTTATTTTCCATGTTATCACGCAAATAGAAACAATACCGGCAACGCTGCCCCCGCAAGACACAGCGTCGAGTCTGTTTTGTATTGAGCAAGCAGTATAATCGAGCAATTATTGTGTACTTGTCATTTTCGTCGCGACCGCATCGTAACATTATTCATGGGCCACTCGAAAAGGGTCTGTGCACTACTTCGACAAGCCGCTCGCGCTTGCTTTTGTCTCTCTCTACAAAATCAAATGCGCGATTTAAGCATAAGCATGTGCTGCAAGTTCTACAGATCCATACAGTTCTAATGCGAAGTACGATATCTGATTGGTCGGTTGGGGCTCGGTATAAAATTTTGCGGAGCATTTGAATTGGCGCTACGGGGCTACGACTGATTAATTTTTCTGCCGAGCTTGATACAACCTCAAGCGAACACATAAAAGATGCTTCAATATTTAAGGGAACTTCAAAAGAAATACAAAACGATCTACTGGATTGTAGTCTTGAAGTTTGTCATGAAGAAATAATAAAATAGATTAACAGAGCCTCCTATTTGGCGATAATAGCAGATGAAACAACGGACATTTCGGGGAATACCCAACTGGTAACAATTTGCAGATACGTATTTAACGGTGAACCAGTAGAACGTTTTTGGAATTATATAAATCCCGAAAAATGTGACGCTGATACTCTCACAAGACATATTTTGAGCGTCGTAGATCCATTAATAGGAAATTTCCCTAACAAACTGATTTCACAAAGCTATGATGGAGCCGCGGTAATGAGCGGAGATAATGCTGGAGTACAGGAAAAAATTAAACAAAGATATCCATTTGCTCACTATGTGCATTGCTATGCGCATCAGTTAAACCTGATTATGTCGTAAGCTGCTTCCGCCACTGCTCAAGTTCGGGTGTTCTTTGGGGATTTGAAAGATATTCCGGGATTTTTCAATAATTCTCCTCAAGGCGTAGAGGTACTGAACTGAATTGTGGGGAAAAATTCCCCAACGAGCAACAACTCGTTGGAGTTTTAATATTCGAACAATAAATGTAGTGTTTGAATGCATGGAAGAAATAGCAGAAAATTTCACTAATGAAACCGTTTGCAAGGCAGCGATTCTGTTTTTGTGTTTTGGTTGACATTTTTTCATCATGTCATGCCTCACGTCGACATCTTGTTCAACCAGTTGCAGAAGAGAAAAGCCGAGCCAGCGCAAATTAAAACGGCTATCGATAATTTTGAAAAATGTATTGTCCATGTGAGAAATAAAATTGATGACATAATAAATGAAGCCAAAAGTATTTGCACCGAACCCCAAGACAACAAAAGGAGACGACGTAATAATAGTAGTCACGATTACCGAGTTGCCGCATTAGAAGTATGCCGCAATATAGTGAACTCTGTAAATGACAGATTTCAATTCAAAGATCATTTGGTAGCCCTTTTTTCCCCGAACACTTTGGAGAATACTGCGGCAAGTTTCTTGATGACAAGTTGGAAACCACCTGCTTGGCTTATCCCGAAATAGAAAAAAGTCGTTTAAAGACAGAGTTGTCTGTCATTGATTCACGGAATGATTGCCGAGATTTACATGGAACTCTGTCTCTTTTGAAATTTTTGATACAAAATAGTTTGGAGGAAACACTAAAAGAAACAAAAAAGCTATTAGAAATTATTGTTACAACTCCTATGTCAACATCAGAGGCTGAGCGAAATTTGTCAACATTGAAAAGAATCAAGACTTTGCTTCGTAATACTATGACCCAGGATCGCCTTACAGCGTTGTCGATGCTGTTCATTAAAAAAAAAATTGTTTCGACAATGGAAAATTTCAACGCGATTTGCAGAACACCTGTTTTATTTTGCTACGAGCCGCCACTGTGAAGAGGTATGAAAAAGGCAGGAAAAAACGTCAAATACGTGAATTTGGTTTAACCTTTGTTCCTGCACAGTCCACATATTCTTTTCAGCACTCCATGTTCTGGATAATTTGATAGATATTAAGCAACTAAATAAAATTAGGAACGTTTATATACTGAGTGTCAAGGTGAATACCTACGGTTGTTTATTAGAATTCAAGAATTTTTTTCATATCGATTTAACTTGCCATGATGAAATGGTCAGGTTTTTCTGACAAGTTTTTGTGGTGTCTGCGTGTATTGTTTGGTGATAAAAAAGCATTCAGTTTTCATACATTTACGGTGATAGTTGAATATTAAATTTCGTGTAGCTTATTGGGACACACTGTATAATCTGAACATGGATTGAACATTTTGCTCAAACAAAGCTATATTTTCAGCACATCGGCAATATCTTTTTGTCGCTATCGTCTCCAACCGAATAAATCCAAGTTATCGGCATTATTACGAGTTCGTACACACACATACGTATTTGGAAGGCATAATTCGGCGTAAATCAGAGATAATTCAGCGTAAATCAGACGACGCGCGGAGATAAGTTTCGCGATGCGTCCCACAGTGTAAAGGAGTCACCGTCGTTACATGGGAAACATTTGCTTCGCCGTACGAGGCTTGTTCTGAAAGTTTCCAGCACAGAAGAAAAATATTGCGTCCGCATTTTCCACTTTCGTTCGTTATCCCGATTGTATTCACTGAATTATACTGAGGATTGCAAACAAGCATTCAAAGAATTGAGGATACTCACATTGCCTTCGATATATGTTTATGAAGCACTGATGTATGCTAAACAGTATTTGAACTGCTGTTCGCATAACTCACGTACTGACTATGATACAAGGAGTGCAGGGAACGTAAATATTCCTTTTGTAAGATTAACGAAAAGTCAGAAAAGTTTAAAAATTACTGCACCCAAATACTACAATAAATTATCGCTGCAAATCAGATCCTTAAATTTAAATGCCTTTAAACGTACAATAAGAAATTTCCTTGCTGAAAATGCATTTTATTCATACCATGAGTTCTTGGACTTTAAATTTTGATATGTGCTGTATCTGTTATTGCTTTTTAAATTATTTGTATTATTTACCTTTTTATATATTATTATATACAGGGTGTTTCAGTTTATTGTTGCATAACTTTAAGATTCGATAGAACATTTAAAATTAATGCATAAAGTCTATATAAACATGGGTCGAAAAATGCGTGGCTTCCGAAATACAGGGTGTTTAAATTTACTTTCTAAAATAGTTTTTTTTAAATATTTCGAACAATATTTGATGTATAATAGTGAAACTTGGTATACAAGGGTTTCTTGGTACGATAAAACGAACCATGGGCATAGTTTTACTGTAGCCGCTAGAGGGCGCTCTCTACTGTACCTGTAGTGTATTGAAATGACCGAAAAATTTTTCTTAGTGCAATTTTTTGCTTTTTGAATAAAAAAACTTATTCTCGTTATAGTTAACCGTAGCATATCTCTTGTGGTTACGGGAGTCTGGTACACTTCTTCTTTTAGAAATCCCCACACAAAGAAATATAATGCATTTAGGTCAGAGGATCGTGGAGGCCAGGCGACTGGTCCTCCACGGCCGATCCATCTTTCTGGATAATTTTCGTCCAGCCAGTTTCAAACTATTCTCGAATAATGAGCTGGACAACCATCAAGCTGGAACCAGGCCAATGTTCTTAAATCTAACATAACATCATCCCACATATTTGCATGTTCAGCCTTTAAAAATTCCAAGAAGGTCGCAGCATTTAACCTTGCAGGCAAAAGGTAGGGTCCAAATAGTCGATTACGGTAGATACCAATCCACACGTTCACACTAAATTCATGCTGAAAATTTCTTTCCCGAACTGCATGCGGATTTTCATGCGACCAAATATGTTGATTATGAAAATTTACCGCTCCACGTCTAGTGAAGCATGACTCATCGGTCCATAAAACGTTACTTAAAAACTCCCTATTATTATCAGTTCTACTAAAAATCCACTGAAAAATGTGATTCTTCGTTCTCCGTCCCCTGGCTGTAGTCCTTGCACAGGTTGCAAATGGTAAGGACGTCTATGGTCATTTCTAAGAACACGGTGAACATGGCTTGCTGAAATTCCCAAGGCACCAGAAACTCTCCTAACACTTGTGGTCGGATCTCTATCAAACTCACGCAGAATCATACGGCTAAATCTGCGCTGACGAACATTTATGTTTTGATCCATTTGGAGATTTCCAAAACCATTTTCAATTATTTGGCGATGCACTCTTACAAATACTGAGCGAGTTGGATGTCGTCTGTTTGGAAATCTTCGTGCGTATTCTCTGGCTGCTACTGCTGCGTTTCCATTTACAAAGCCATACACAAAATGAATATACGCTAACTCTTGATTGGAGAATAAAAATGGCATTTTTATAAAACTTACAAAAAAAACAGGTAAAAGAAACTAAATTTCGTGCATTCACAATTGCAAAAAAACGTTTCAGGTTTCAACAGACAACAAAACTAACTGTAAACTAATTGACGTTTAACCTTATTCTGTTTTCAAAAATATTTGCAGGTACAGCCTACTTCTAAAAATTATCGAGATACTGACTTTTTTACGTTATTTTATCATAAATAATTAAAAATGCATCGAACCTTAAAAATCGACATATCTCAAAAACGGCTAACTATAACGAAAACTCACAGGAGAGCTTTTTTATGTTGAAAAGTGCGAAGAATCAGTATTTTTATTCAAAAAGCAAAAAATTGCACTAAGAAAATTTTTTCGGTCATTTTAATACACTACAGGTACAGGAGAGAGCGCCCTCTAGCGGCTACAGTAAAACTATGCCCATGGTTCGTTTTGTCGTACCAAAAAACCCTTGTATACCAATTCTCACCGTTATATATCAAATATTGTTCAAAATATTTAGAAAAAACTATTTTAGAAAGTAAATGTAAACACCCTGTGTTTCGGAAGCTACGCATTTTTCGACCCATGTTTATATAGACTTTATGCATTAATTTTAAAAGTTCTATCGAATCTTAAAGTTATGCAACAATAAACTGAAACACCCTGTATACACATTTGTCCTCTGCAAGGTGGATAAAAGGATTATTATCTATGTATACTATAAACATTTTGTTACGAACTGACGTGTGAAAGTACAGTATGTACACTAACACCAATAAAGTATTGTATTCTATTGTATACTATAACTCCAGAAGGTTTACTATTGGCCTAACATTTTTTTTGTGTTATCGATACTGCATGACAATTGTAGTATTATATAGAGTGTTAAAATACCAAGGGAGATGTGGAATAAAGCGAAATATCATAAAAACAATTAATGAAAAAGAACGACTTATTTAAACGTTTGCTCAAAGATACAGAAAACAATTTACTAAAAACGAGTTCCAAAAGCTCAAAAAAAAAAAACGCAAAAAGAGTTTATGTGAATGAATTAATCGACAAAAATTAAAATAAAATTCTACAGGGGTGCCGGGGGCCCAAAGCATGGATTTACGTGAGAAAAGTGGGGTTTTCAAAAATAGTGAGAAATAGTGACTTTACGAAGGATGAAACTAATTTTCTTACTCCTAATTCGTCATGTTCATTTTTTCTGAATTGAGGTCTTTCAATGATGAGTTTTTTGCACTGCATCGACGTTTTTGGTGCACCTACCCTGGGATCGTCGCTAAGACTCACCCGTCCACGTTTGAATTCTCCATACCAACGGGAAATTGTCGACTGATGTGGCGCTTCGTTGCCGAAAACAGACAGTAACTCAGCAAGGCATTCTTATTGCGATAATTGTCTCTGGAAGTTGTAATAAATTATGGCGAGAAAATGTTCTCGGTTGAGTTCCATTGTTCTAATGACTAGGTGACACTTAAAAATTCACTGTAGTGAGAACACTCCACGCATTGTTGTGAAACTTTGAATTTAAGTTTACTAAAGAGTGAGGTTAAGATTCAGTACTGACGTTCGATCCGCGCGGCCTACTATGTTTCTATATGCAAAACTTAAAAGACATCCCTCGTATACATAAAAAAGTGGGTTAACTTTCTGTTAAATTGAATATTATGATGACAAATTTAAACGGATAATATACTAAGTGACATATCAATCCGAACACCCAGTTTAAATGGTTTTATTTTAATAAAAGTTGGTGAATGAATTTATCTTACTGTAAATAACAAGTGAAAAAAATTTCAGCCTCATCAGTTGGACATTCCGGTTTTTATACTGCTTTTTTTAATTCACTAACGCTCTAAAAATGAATATTTCAGCAGCAGTAAAGAATAAACGTTGGCGGATTTTGGTTCTTGACATCCTTTACGATCGGTTACGATGCCTAGAGTACGGAGACCTGTACGATTTCGTCAACTTAGTGAGTTTGATAGGGGCCGTATAGTGGGACTTTGGGAAGCTGGACTTTTTTTTCGGGCAATTGCAGTTAGAGTGCAAAGAAGTGTAGACACTGTGGTTAGGTGTTGTCAGGCATGGCTTCGAGAAGGCCGTACGCAAAGAGCAAGGGGCACTGGACGCCGCCGTAGAACAACAGACCGTGAAGATCGCCACCTAAGAATATTGGCCTTAAGGGACCGTTTCTCCACTACCAGGTCCATTGCAAATGAATGGTTTGCAGAACACGGAAGACCTATTGGCATGCGAAGTGTTTACCGACGAATGAGAAGTTTTTACTTGTTTTCATACCGGCCACACTGGGTCCTCCCTTTAACTCGAGAACACCGACGTAAAATCGCCTTGAGTGGTGCAGACAACGGTCACTCTGGGATCAGGAATGGAACAGTATTGTCTTTAGTGACGAGTCTCGATTTTGTTTAGGCATTCACGATGGTCGTGCCAGGGTTAGAAGGCGACGTGGTGAAAGGAGGAATCCACAGTTTTTTGTTGAAAGACATGTTCATCACACTGTTGGAGTTATGGTTTGGGGTGCTATAGCTTATGGTTCCAGATCAC